TTTTTTGGTCGTTCTTGATAGCTTTCGATTTTTTTCCCTTTTCATAAAAAAATTCTTGTTTTTTATTATATATTGAAATTTTCTATTATAAACAAGATCCATTTTGGAATCTAGGGAAATCAAAATAAAATCATGTTTTATTTTCTAATTTATATTGTTGTTATTAATATATATTCAGGCTTTTAAGTGTCATTCGTCTTCCACTTTTTAATGAATATAGTGTGGGTGGGTTTGCCATGAGTTGGAAACCACCACCATGTTGTCGGTCAAACCACTCAGAGTTGGGTGAGGGGTCAAATTTATCTGGTTTTTGGTGTTAAGGATGCTAATGGCCACTCCCTCTATTATAAAATATTTGAAGTTCTAGGTTTATCTTAAATAACATTTCATTAAGTTTGACCAACTTTATGAGAAAACTTACTAATAAACACAACATCAAATGTATATAGTATGACCATATATTTTAGGACCCTGATAACCACAAAATGTGTGGTGGTTAAGCTTAAACACCTCCATCCTCCCCATTTGTTACATGCATGCATGCATTAGAATAATCCTCTGCTCCTCCCACATGCATTTCTCTCTCTAATTATAATTTGAAAATTCAAAATGTTTTGTAGCACAAACTGTCAATTCGATTCAAAATTGTTTTCACATAAAGAATTCATCATGATGAGACCTTTGATACTATATCTCATGTTGATATGTTCCGACAACTTTTTTGGGGGGCTCAAAAGGTATCACGCATGGGCTACATAATTTACAACACATATGATATGTAATTTATCGTGCTATTTTCAGATAAGTTGTTGGGGTATGTTTGTCAACAACTTTTCCCCCTTGGTCAATGTTATCGTGGTGTTTGCACGTAAGTCAACTGGTATGTGGTTCGTATATTAACATATTATTTTCACATAAGTTGCTGGGGTACATTTTTCAATAATCCCCCCTTGTCAATCTTACCACGGTGTTTGTATGTAAGTTATCACATATTCGGTTCATATATTAACATGCTATTTTCACATAATTTACCAGCGGTATGTTTTTCAACAACCTTTTCCCCTTAGTCAATGTCATCACGATGTTTGTACGTAAGTTATCAGATAGGCGGTTCCTCAGCGTTAGTTCAAGCCACGGTAACCAACTCGAAAAGTTCTTTTTTATGCAAACTTGCTTCCCTTTCCACTTCTCGTAAGGTAAATGTAACGCTAAAAATAAAAGCAGTGCGTTCCTAGTTTTTTTTTCTCTTTGGTTGATTTTTCTTCATTTTTTTCATTTCTCTTTCTAATTTCTTTCTTTTCTATCTTTTATTAATTCACAAATATTGTCCAAATCCATGTTTTGTTTTTACAATTTGTGAGTTTTTTTGATTATGTGAACTTTTTTCAAATCCATTTTTGGTCAAATTCATGAACTATTTTCAAATTCTTTTTCCTTTTCTTTTACAAACGCGCAAACTATTTTCAAATGAAAAACATTCTTAAAATTCATGAACTTTTGTTTCAAAATCGATGATTTTTTTTCCAAATCTATGGTTATTTTCTTTGAAATCCATTAAGTTTTTCTCAACTTCGCAAACTTTTTTCATACTTCCAAAATCAACGGTTTTCTTTTCAAAATCGATGTTTTTTTAAATCCATGAACTATTTTTGAACCCTTGAACTTTTACAAGTTTGCGAACTTTTTGTCAAATACATGATTTTTTGAGTTTGTTAACTTGTTTCAAACCCACGAACAATTTTCAAAATCATGATTGAAATTCGTGAACTTTTTTCAAATTCACAATTTTTTTGAACCCTTTAACTTTTTGAAGTTTGTGAACTCTTTTTAAAATCCATGAACTTTTTCTAAATCCTGCATACTTTTTTGAACTTGTGAAGTTTTAAGAGTTCATGAACTTGTTTTCACATCCGTGAACTTTTCTCAAGCCCATGACATTGTTTTAAAATTTATGATCTTTTTCAATCTGGTGAACTTTTTTCAAAGTCTCAACTTTTAAAATTTTAAAATTCTTGATTTTCCAAATTTCATGAATATTTTTAAAATTCAACAACTTTTTTAAAATTCATGACATTTTTAAGATCCACAATCATGAACATTTATTCAAATCCACAATCATGAACTTTTTAAAATCCACTAATTGAGGAGCATTTATTCAATTCTGTGAACTTTTTTTAAATTCACAAACTTTTCTCTATATTTTTGATTTGTTTTCAAATCTTTCGACATTTTTCATCTTACAATTATTTTGAAAGTACTACAAAAAAACCGAAAGGAATTTTTCGACCAGCTACCGAAAAAAATCAGAAGAAAACTACTTGCTCCATCCCATAATATAACATTGTTTGGTATGCCGTCTTTGGTTGCAAAACGATCTTATATTATGGGATGGAGGGAGTAGCTTCTTTTAAATAGACAAACAAAGAGAAAACCTAGCTTGTGAAAGCAAGCGAGCGGGTGAGCCAGGTGGCTCAATATTGGGCCGCCGCCCACTAGCATCAAGCTTAAGGTACACACATGTGGGCTAGCCCATTTAGAGTGCTTTTAAAATTTTAAAATTCGTGAATTTTCCAAATTTCATGAATATTTTTAAAATTCAAAAACTTTTTTAAAATTCATGACATTTTTAAGATCCACAATCATGAACATTTATTCAAATCCACGAACTTTTTTCAAATGCTTGAACTTTTTAAAATCCACTAATTGAGGAACATTTATTCAATTCTGTGAACTTTTTATAAATTCACAAACTTTTCTCTATATTTTTGATTTGTTTTCAAATCTTTCGACATTTTTCATCTTACAATTATTTTGAAATACTATAAAAAAACCGAAAGGAATTTTTCGACCAACTACCAAAAATAAATCAGAAGAAAACTACTTGCTCCATCCCATAATATAACATTGTTTGGCAAGCCGTCTTTGGTTGCAAATCGATCTTATATTATGGGATGGAGGGAGTAGCTTCTTTTAGATAGACAAACAAAGAGAAAACCTAGCTGGTGAAAGCAAGCGAGCGGGTGAGCCAGGTGGCTCAATATTGGGCCGCCGCCCACTAGCATCAAGCTTAAGGTACACACATGTGGGCTAGCCCATTTAGAGGTTAAGTACTCGAGCACGTAAAAAAATGGCCTAAAAGACCCGAGCCAGCGAGAGATCGAACTCGTGACGCTCCGCTCGTGAAGTGAAGAACCTGACCAATGAAGCTGGCAAAATCTAGTGATTTGTATGCAGTGCAAGAGTTTAAAGTATCGAACACCTTTCAAGTTTTCACGAATAATTCAATAAAATAAATGGAAAATTCTGCACAAAAATTGACAGACGCAAATACATTTTTAAAACCATGAACATTTTTTTCCAAAAAATGTGAACACATTTTGAAATTCGAACAAACTTTTGAAACTTGAGCAATTATTGAAAAGATGAACAAAATTTTTGAAATTCCTAAAAAAATATTTTTTTGAAAATATACATCGAACATTTTGTAATACATGCAAAACAATTTTTAAATACATATAATATACGCACAACGATTTTGAACTCCACAGTGAATATTTTTGTGATATACCCAGAACAAAATTTTAATATATGTTGAATTTTTTTGTAATATACTCTGAACAATTTTTAACTACACATTGAACATTTTTGTGATATACGTTGAACATTATTTCAATACACAATGAACATTTGTGTGATATACGCCGAATTTGTTTGAGTTGTGAACAAAATTTAAAAACCTTGACTTTTTCTAAAATCACTACCAAAATTTGGAATTTTAAACATTTTTTGAAAACAAAGGATATAAAATAAAAACAAAATGGTAAAATAAAAATATAAGAAAAAAAATGAAACTGAATCAGAATCAGAAAAGAAACCGAAACAAAAAAAGCAAACAGAATTTTTTTTGGAAATTTGGTTAAAAAAAATACCGTTTAAAGGAACCTGCTAGAAGGTGAAGTCGGCCGGCCCGTCGCGTGGCAGACGACGTGCATCAGGAGGCGAGCAGGTAGAGTTTTGATCATGCCATGTCACACTTTCTGGCCCCAAAACTGCCTAAAATTGATGCAAAACCACCTAAGGGGGAGATTTACCCGGTTTTAAGGAATTGGGGGTTAAGATCATACCAAATTTGAGTTCAGGGGGGTATTTGTCCCTCAGGCTACATTTAAGGGTGAAAAATAGACTTCTTTCAGAAAAAAGGGACATCAACGAGACGGCCCGCTTCGTTCGCTTGTGCGTGCGACTGAGTTCCTGGCCCAATGAGCCGCCCCTTCTAGTTTATCACCCTTCTAGCGTCTGTGGCCCAATGAGACGGTATAATATTGAGTCTGTCGCCCTTCCTTCCTCCCCCTCCACTAGTTCCTCCACCAAAAACTAGGGTTAGGGTTAGGGCGGCGGCGGCGGCTTTATTTCCGATCGCGATCGCCATGGCCACCGGAGGCGCCCCAAAGCCGGAGGAGGAGACCGTCGTCTTCCCCGATTGGGTGATGCTGGAACGCATCTTCCGCAAACGGTGCCACGACGACCTAGACGCTGCTGGTGAGGCCGTCAACAAGAACAAGACCGCCGCTCCAGTCAAGATTGACAGCGTCCACTCCTGCTTCGTCTCCTTCACCCTCGCAGCTCCTCCAGGGTCCTCCTACTTCAACCTCCATTGGCCGGAGAGACAAGGCTCAGAAGAACTCCTTGCCTTCGTCCGGGCAGTCGACAAGAACCTTGTCCTCTTCGACATCTTGATCCCCGACCGGATTCGCTACTTCGACGCTCCGCCAGATCTGTTCGTCTACACGGCCTCTGCTCCTCCCCCCCCGGTGCAGCAGCTTCCTCGGCGCAGCACAAAGCGGTTCCTGGCTCGTCAGTTCACCACCGGCATTCTGCAGCTCAAAGCGGAGCACTGCTACATCGTTGCCGACCTCAATGTCCACCTCAAGAAAGAGGGCGCTAGTGCTGAACTCTGTGTCTTCAACTCCGGCGCCAACGATTGGAGAATCATCACCGAGGTGCTTGCTGATAAGCTCCCTGACCTCTGGTTTACCGATGATGTGTTTGCTTTCGATGGCCGTTTCCTTTGCTGGGTGGACTACTTCAGCGGCGTTGTGCTATGCGACTTCTCCAAAAATGTGGACTCCCAGGTGCTCCACTTCGTGCCTTTTCCTGGAGGAATCAAATACCCTGATGACGCACGGTTCCCGAGGTACTTCCCAGGGAGGTTCCGAAGTGTGTCCATCAGCCAAGGCATGATGCGCTATGTCCATATTGACAATGACTTTCATCAGACAGTCCACAGTGGCTGGCGAGGGATTGCTCCTAAGAGAAGCAAACGGCGGCAGAAGCAGCTAACCCACAAAATCACCATTTGGACGTTGAACTCCAATTTCGAGTGGGAGGTGCATTGTGAGATCAACCTGGATTGTCTCTGGGCACAACCTCGTTACCAAGGTCTGGGCTTACCTCGGCGTCTTCCTGAGTTCCCAGTCATCAGCATGGATGACCCGGGTGTTCTGTGCTGCCTGCTGAGGGCAAAGGAATTTGCTGGCAAGGAGTGGATGATCATGGTTGACATGAACCATGCGGATCTGCAGTCATGTACTGATGTGAATGTAGAAGACAAGTTCTCTAATACCACCCAACTTTCAACTGTCTTCTCCAAATACCTTCAAAAGGCGAACAGGTAACTGGCTACAAGAAGCTCCCTTAATATTCAAATGACATCTTTCACGTACGTTCTTACATATTATATAACATGGTTGCCTTTGCTTAGCTTTCTGTTGGATACGGTACTGGTAAACACTGGTGTTTTTCCTTACTTATCGTACCTATGGTGCAATAGACATGCTGCCTGGTTTTTCATTCCATGTAGGATTCTCAAAGAACTTCTTTCTTAATTGATGTCATTCACGCACATTCTTACATACATACAACCTCCGTCCCAAATTAATTGTCTTAGATTGATTGGACAAATCTAAGACAAGTAATTTGGGATGGAGGGAGTATTATATAACATGGTTGCCTTTGCTTAGCTTTCTGTTGGATATTGTAGTGGTAAACACTGGTGTTTTTACTTATTTATCGTACCTATGGTGCAATAGACATGCTGCCCGGTTGCATTCGGTGTAGGATTCTCAAAGAACTTTGGCTTTGGTGCACGCTTTATAGCTTACTGCATGTTGTCTGCTCCCTGTATGAATCACTTTGAAGTGTCCCCTTCTTTCATTGTCAACTCTCTGCACAGTGACTGACCCATACCATCCTACTAATCAGGGTTGTTTTCCCTATGTTATTCTCTGTTGCTTTACTCCTGCCCCAAAGTTTCTATTTTGCTGCCTTCTGCCGTTGCATGTCCTCTAGTGTTGCTGTGTTATAGTAATATGTATATATATATATATAGAGAGAGAGAGAGAGATTAATTGAAGCATTTAATATGTTGTTGCCTTGAATCTTCTGTTGGGCTGTTCCAGTGTTTGAGTTGTAGCTGCTTCAGTTGTGTAGAGATTCCAATATGGACTCCCTCCGTTCGTAAATATAAGTCCTTTTTAGAGATTCCAATATGGACTACGTACAGAGCGAAATGAGTGAGTATAAGCTTTGGTCCTTCTGCCATCAAGTTTTCCTTAAGAGTCTAGAGTCCTCTATTTCTCCTTATTGGATCTTTTGCTCTTTACATGGGATTGTCCATTATCTGTACAAATGGGACTGTAATTCTTTCAGCAGCCTTCTGTCGCCACTAGCATGGTGCTATTTTGAAGTGAATTCTTGGAACCACATTGTTTTGATTGCTGTTGTAAAGCATAAAACTATATTGTCCTCTAATTTCTGTAGGGGGGACAAGCGTCTATGAAGCTTTATTAGCACATACTTTTCTGTTGGCAAAATTTCTTTGGTTTACTTTGGGTCAATCAGGTCACATCTCTGACTGTTTCTGTTAGAATCCTTTTGTTTGAGATAGCGTATACCATGGTTTTTAAGGCAGTAAAGTGTCCTAAGGCGTTCTACCCCTGCTCTGACGCCTAAGCGGGCACCTGAGCACTAAGGCAGACTAAGCGCCTAAAGCGGGCAGATTTCCAAGGCGCTGCCAGGGCGCCTAAGCGTCCTAACGCAGACGCCTTAAAAACCATGGCATATACTTTTATATCGTCTAACTGAGTGCTGGCCATGGTGGAGCTTAGTGTAGACCAACAGGGCCCATGCCCCCCTCCCCCCTTAATTTTTCCATCCATCGAAGAAAATGCTATTAATTTGGTTCCCTTCGAGTAATGGCCCCCTCTTGAATTATGCTCAAGCTCTGCCAGTACTGGGCCAGTGAGCCATTCTCTTTATTCTCTCTCTCTCTATATATAGATTAATTGAAGCATTTAATATGTTGTTGCCTTGAATCTTCTGTTGGGCTGTTCCAGTGTTTGAGTTGTAGCTGCTTCAGTTGTGTAGAGATTCCAATATGGACTCCCTCCGTTCGTAAATATATGTCCTTTTTAGAGATTCCAATATGGACTACGTACAGAGCGAAATGAGTGAGTATAAGCTTTGGTCCTTCTGCCATCAAGTTTTCCTTAAGAGTCTAGAGTACTCTATTTCTCCTTATTGGATCTTTTGCTCTTTACATGGGATTGTCCATTATCTGTACAAATGGGACTGTAATTCTTTCAGCAGCCTTCTGTCGCCACTAGCATGGTGCTATTTTGAAGTGAATTCTTCGAACCACATTATTTTGATTGCTGTTGTAAAGCATAAAACTATATTGTCCTCTAATTTCTGTAGGGGGGACAAGCGTCTATGAAGCTTTATTAGCACATACTTCTCTGTTGGCAAAATTTCTTTGGTTTACTTTGGGTCAATCAGGTCACATCTCTGGCTGTTTCTGTTAGAATCCTTTTGTTTGAGATAGCGTATACCATGGTTTTTAAGGCAGTAAAGTGTCCTAAGGCGTTCTACCCCTGCTCTGACGCCTAAGCGGGCACCTGAGCACTAAGGCAGACTAAGCGCCTAAAGCGGGCAGATTTCCAAGGCGCTGCCAGGGCGCCTAAGCGTCCTAACGCAGACGCCTTAAAAACCATGGCATATACTTTTATATCGTCTAACTGAGTGCTGGCCATGGTGGAGCTTAGTGTAGACCAACAGGGCCCATGCCCCCCTCCCCCCTTAATTTTTCCATCCATCGAAGAAAATGCTATTAATTTGGTTCCCTTCGAGTAATGGCCCCCTCTTGAATTATGCTCAAGCTCTGCCAGTACTGGGCCAGTGAGCCATTCTCTTTACACGGGAGTGCCATTAGCTAAAACCCCTGTAGTATTAGCTTTGCTGGCCTTCTCATGTTACTGTCTTACTCTTGATTCTGGCTACAACCCTTCTGATTGTTTTCTCTATCCTCTCATGCCTCATTTCATTCTCTCACGCCTAATCCGACATTGGTACGGCTGGACTGTGGTGAGGACTCCAATTTTTCTCGAGTATGCTGCCCTGTCGCCGCGTTCAGCCTCTTGTTACACCTGAACACACACACACACACACCATGCCTGGCTGCAGCATGTTTGCTACCAGTCCCTGCATGTCAGTTGTAGTCCTTACCAGAGGCTGTGCCTGCTCATTGAGGCCACACCGCAACGCCATGGCTATGTGGTGTTCTGAATATTATGTCAAGCTAGGCGATGACATTACCATCTGAATCCATGTCAAATATATGATGCAATTGCATTTGCATTAATATTGACTGCAGAACTATTTTCTTTACCAATATACTCCACTGCAATGCCATTTGTCTTTCTTGTTTGTCTTTTTTTAAACTACCCTTTTCAAGTGACAATTCATCTTATCTGTTTATACTGTTCGCAAACAACATACTCAGATGTTCAGTTGGTGTATATATCTGAGTTATTTTTATTTCTATTTTTAAAGGGATGGCATGGGACAACATTGAGCTAACTTCATTGAAATGCAAGTCTGCAATATGAAGACCTGTAATCTGGTGACTGAAGGTGAACACTTTGCGGATGCTCAAATCAAAGATGTTGTTTGTCAATGACGCGGTGCAGGCAGAACAGTTTGATGATGTACTGATGAATATCTATTGGAGTAACGCTACATGTTCTGGATCATTTAATCATATGTTTTAGCGTTAAAAGTATGAGATTGAATATCTTTTCTTTCATGAAAATTGAATTGAGGGCAAGCACAAGGAAAAAAAATAGTGCTAGACATTATTTTTGGTTTTCTTATCGAGGCCAAAATGTCTTAATTACAGAGATCTTCCAATATTTTTCTATTGGGGGTTCTTCCATTCCTTTTTTTTGAGGAATTATGACAGTGAGGGAAGCTCCCCACTGACCTTTATATTTCTCATTCCTTTTATTGAGCACAATGATGTGAATCAGGCTTTAATAAGTTCTAATACGCAGCGGCACAATTCATGCTCACTTGTACTCCCTCCGTTCCTAAATATAGTTTTTCTACATATGAAGCAAAATAAGTGAATTTACACTCTAAAATATGTCTATATACATCCGTATGTTTCGTTCCTAAATATAAGTAGTCAATTGTTGGAATGTCAGCTCTTCCTCGATCTCGCTACAATAAAATATGGGTCTCACAAGTAGTCAATTGTTGGAATGTCAGCTCTTCCTCGATCTCGCTACAATAAAATATGGGTCTCACTTAATCCTAATAGCGTTCTTATTTTCTCTAAAATTATTCGCTTGCTTACTCCTAACAAGTAGGGTCCACACTTATCATTGTGAGATAGATAGAGTTGACATGTGGGTATAGGGGTATTTTGTCATATAACATGGTCAATGAGTTTGACCTGACAATAACAATGTCTAATGGCATTTCTGAGCAAACATCTAATGGAATGATGGCAATTTTTAGATATCTAATGGCATTTTTGAGAAAACATCTCATGGAACGATGACATTTTTGAGCGTTTGTAATTTCTAGTGGCAAAACTGAGCAGTGAGACACAATTAGTGGCATAAATGAAAAACCCTTTAATCTATCCTCACTTAGCTCAAAAAAACATTCACCACACCTAATACCAAAATAACAGTTCCACTAGAGATGCAGTGTCATGTGCCGTTGAAATGAAATGCACCGAGCACATTCATATTTATCCTAGATCAGTTTTCAGCATGAACTTTTTCCATCCATCGCTGAATTAATTACGATCATCAGGATTTCCTGTACCACAAAAAACTCAATTAGAAAAACACAACTTTGTTTCTGCTATAAGGAAATTCATCATAGTGGCAAAGGGTGCAAAATATGAGACCAAAAATGCGCATGAAAACTTGGCAATGATCTGTTCAAATAAACAATACAAGTTCTCAAAGAAACTATGTCAACTTTCAAGAAACACTTGATGAAGAAACAACATGACAGCAGTATTAACAAAATCTTGAATAGGAAAGGATGTTCTAAACAACAGCAGGTTCCCATGAATTGTGATTTTGAATGCAAAGAAGATAGCTACAAGAATTTCTTGTTCTCAATACAAGTCTATTGTGGATAATAACACACATGTCCACGATATTTTGTTACAACAAAGGATATATGGTAGGCTGACCTGATATATGTATGGCAAGAAGAAATCAAGGATTTCTCAGAATTCAACCAGAAATGATCATCAATATTTTTCCCTGAAGAATGATGTCAACCGCGTCAATTCCTAAAAGATGTATAAAGAAGTTTGTTTGTTTACTTGGTTTAGAGGAAGAACCCAATAAACAGGGCAAGCTGTCATAGCCCTAGAATTTGATTGCAGATAGTGGCATTGCATCCATGCATCATGTCTAAAGTTATGTGAAATTGAAATGGGGATTGATCCAAACCCTAGCACCAAAATTAAATCAACTAGGTTCAACTAAAAATTGCATTCAATGAACCCAAAATGCCTTCATCAATGTTTGATATTTTTGGCAAGGCTTTGAGTCCAAACAAAAAATGGTGAACATTTTTGTGGAATATTCTGGGCACTAAATTTAAATCATTACTGTATTTTGCATTTGGAATTATATTCATAATATATAAGAATATATTTTCAAAAGCCCTGAAATATTTTATGTGCATCTGGAAATGACCAATGTGCAACATAAAAATATTTAGAGGAATCTTTGGCACTAATTGAAGTCATTTTGATTTCAAACAGTGGCAAATAAATAAAAAGAAAACAGAACAAAATAAAATAGAGCAGAAACCTCACCTGGCTTACCTGGCCTGCTCCTGTAGCAGAGGCCCAGCCCACCAGGTGCCGTCGTCCTCCTGGCGCCAGTCGGCCAGGCGCGTGGGCGACGCGCGCGCACGCACGCACGCACGACAGCCACGCCACCAGGGTGCCTGCCTGCCTCCTCCTGCCAGCGAGACGTCGCGAGCACCGCCCGGAGCCGTCTGGCTCTTCCTCTCTTTTCCTGGAGCTCTTCCCCCTCCTCTGGTTCTCTCGCCCTTGCTGGTCCCCACCTCAACGAACCGCGCCGCCGTGACCGACGAGCTCCACCATGGTCGCAGCCATTCCCTCGCTCCCTCTCCGCGTCCTCGAGCTCCACCCCGACCCTGTGGAGCAACACACCTGACACATGCGACCAGAAGAGGCCCAGTCGACCGGAGCGTCTTCGTCTTCACCTCTGGTGCCCGGAGATCGAATCCGTCGATTCGCCTCGTCCAGAGCGTTCCCGAGGCCGCTGACCTACCCTGTCGCATCCCTATGAGCTCCTGCTCCTTTCCCTTGCTCATCCCCTTCGTTTCCGTGCCCTAGCTGCCTCTCCCACCATGGCCGCAAGCTTCTCGCCGCCGGCCATGAGGTCGCCGTGGCCAGAGCCCGAACCAGCCGCTCCCGCACGCGTCATCGTTCCCCTTGCCTCTCCAGGAGCCCGTAGCCACCACCAGATCTTCCCCACATGCCCTATAGCCGCCACCCGAGCTCACCCGAGCTTCGGCCACCGCCACGAGCTCGTCTCCGGCGAGTACGACGCACCACAACCGCTGCTGCTTGCTCCGTTGGATGCGGATGAGCACCAGCTTCACGCAAAGCCCCTCCGCCACTCGTTTGGTCGCCGGAGGAGCAAACCCGACGCGCTCTGCCGTCTCTGGCTTCACCGGCGATGAGCCGCCGGCCTAATTCCGGTTTAGTTAGTACTAATGACTCCACTGAACACCCCAGAGCCACTGCTATGTGGGCCCTTGTGCCTGTTTAGGTTAGTTTAATTCCTATTTAGATTAGTGCTAATCTTGTGGACCCTGTTGGAACCGCAACCCTCTAGCTACCTCTTCTCTCACTCGAATGAAGGTGGAAGAAAAAGAACAGTGGACAAAAGATTTTCCGGCCGGCGCACGAACGCCCCAATCCTTTTCTTCCTTACAGTAGCTACATGGATACACATGGCTCATACCGACACTCAGTGGCACATACCACACCGCAATCAGCAATACAGGGGGTCTTTATGCCCCGACACACACACACACACACACACTCTGGCACGGTGTGATCCGCTCGGCCCGGCCACCCCTCACAATGATATCACGCGAAGGACTCGGTTGCTCTCAACAGCCCATGCATGCATGACTCAGCATGCAGCCACACCTCTAGCTAGCTTATCCATGCAAACTAACTAATTTCCTAGCCTGCAGCATGCACCATACACACACACGCTGGTCATCACACCTAGACATGGTTTAATCCTAACACTCCCCCTAAACCATGACTTGGCTTGCCATCGCCAGAGTTATCGTAGCTCTCGTCGTTGTGGTCACCACAGCCGTGACCCAGCCCGCGGACCCCACCCGGCGCACCGACGCCGGTTGCACCGCCACGGACCCGACCTGGCGCACTGACGTCGGTCGCACCGTGCTCCGTCATGACCCGGCGACATACACCGAGCTCCTTCTCTGCTGGCGACACACGCTTGGTGTCCCTCTGCGTCCCGCACGTCCCGCGCGCACTTGACGCGCCCGACGAGCCCGACCGCACCAATGCGTCCCGCACGTCCCCAACCCGCCCGACGAGCCCGACCGCATCAGACGCTCACTGCGCGCCGCCTCCGCGTCCGCCATGGCAGCCACCAGCGACAAACGCCGGAAGGATGTAGCCGAACTCGAGCACGGACTCGAGCACAACGGCGACATACGCCTCCTCCCAACGTCAACCGCACGCTCGTACGCGCGCCCGCGGTCCCGACGCGCCCGACGCGTCCAGTGCGCACCCATAACACACACCGGTCGCGCCCGGCTCGCCGCCATGGCCTATTGCCCTGCACCGCTACGGCCTCAACCGCAGCGCAACACCTCCATGCCGCCATGCCGCTGTGTGTCGTTGAAGCCGCCACCACGCAGGTCCTCCGCGGCCTCCCCACCGTGCCGCCGCAGCCCCCCGCGGCCTCCTCGCCACGCCGCGCACCTCCATAGACCGACACACGGCCCGGAGCATCGCGCAGCCGCCGGCGAACTCCGCCACCGCCGGCACGCCTCCGACAAGGAGAACGCCGCCCAAGATGAACCAGTTCATGATACCAATTGTTGGAACCGCAACCCTCTAGCTATCTCTTCTCTCACTTGAATGGAGGTGGAAGAAAAAGAATAGTGGACAAAAGATTTTCCGGCCGGTGCACGAACGCCGCCACGGGCGCACGAACGCCCCAATCCTTTTCTTCCGTACAGTGGCTACATGGCTGCTCATACCGACGCTTGGTGGCACATACCACACTGCAATCAGCAATATAGGGGGTCTTTTATGCCCCGGCACGCAGACACACTCTGGCACGGTGTGATCCGCTCGGCCCGGCCACCCCTCACAACGATATCACGCGAAGGACTCGGCTGCTCTCAACAGCACATGCATGCATGACTCAGCACGCAGCCACACCTCTAGCTAGCTTATCCATGCAAACTAACTAATTTCCTAGCCTGCAGCATGCACCATACACACACACACGC